AATCTTCCCGATTACTGCTTATACTCTTATTACCTCTACCACTACGGGATTTGAATCGACAAGTGCATCTCTGTGCTAATGTGGTGTGGCAACTCGAACTGATGTACGTACGTACGAAGTTCTACGTTGTTACTGACTGACTGACTGACCAACTGATTGATAATGAATTGAGGTATATGGTATTAAGTAAACATCATAAAATCTTTTGAAGATGTTATGAATCTTCATTGAAAAAAAAATTACTAATCCAGTGAAAAGTTGCTTACTTACAAACCAACCTTTTCTGCTTCTAAGTCTCAATAGGCAGGTTTCACTTATTTAGAAATTCTCATTGATGTAACTGGTTATCAGTTGTCTTACTAACACTTAACCACTTTTTACCTTGATAAATAATTTTGACTGGCTTAGGATTATAGGTTGGAAATCTAAGGATGGATAAACTATACAACGGTATTGATTTTCAAATTGAGAGTGATATAAGATGGAGATTTCTCAGTTATGATCCATGTCATAACTGTGATCAATAGTTAACGATGTAGAGTGCCAAGGTTCAAAATCGATCATTGTAGTAATTTAGGTACATTTATTACTTAACTTCGCTAAATCTTCAGTTTCAATGCCAATTTACTTAGTTAGTACAATAGGGATTCTGTATAATGAAGAGATATGTGTTCATCACTAACTGCAATCGAATAGAAAGAATTTTTTTTAATCAAAGGAACAATGAAGAGTTACTTGTTCTACGATCTGGACTTATTAACTAACTATTCAATGTGTATGGAATGGATTAGTATCAGTTGATGGCATAATAAAGAAATATCTCGTAATAAGATCTAGCTGACTTATTCAAGAGGTGAATTACAAAGAATAGTGATGGTCAACGCAAATGCAAATTAAGCAGTCAATTCTAAATCAAGTTTGATGAAAAATTCTAAGAAACAATCTTAGTATTAGCATCAAAGATTTGTGTAAAACATTCAATGTGAAGTTTATATTATATTAACTACAAAACAAGAAGGGGAGTGGATAGCCGTTTTTGTCCTAGCATAAGACGTTTTAGCAGTTCGACAAGATTGATGGGAGGTCATTCATGTGTTGGGTTAGTCATTTCACTCATGGTCATCAAGTATAACCAGTCGATTGAAGAAATGAGGGATACTGCTTTTAAATAGTACTTAAATGAATGAAGGTTAATGCGCACTCTGCAAGGCAAAGACTAGGTAGTAAACTCGATCCCTGAAGAGTTTGTGGTCAGGTTCCACACTAGGATTAAATAACTCAGTAACACTCCCTCTTGAGTTTCAATAGCTATCTAGTTGAAGTCGATCCATAGTGTAACCTACGAACAATTTTAAACTGCGAGAATAGAAGCAAAGTAATGTATACAGATGTACAATTCGTCAAACAAAAACGAGTAGAAAGTAATTAGGTAACCTACTTGAATATGTAGTCTACCTGTTTCTGCCATCTGGATATTTCAACAAAGTATCTGTTTAATTCCGCCTCGGAGGCTACGGCCGGTCCCAAGCTCGGATAATGGAGGAGGGTTTTGCATGGGGTTACCGACCCTATCCCGAAGAAAACTAACTCTCTAAAAAACACTAACGAGAAATATCTGTTTTTTGTTTGTTTTAACAAATCATTATACCAATTAATTGCATAACCTATTCAAGTGCGTTTGTGAAAACGTTTACGACCTTTCGCTGTACCAGTTACAAAAGAGGTCAGTCAAAGATATCATGGTTGCTAGCAGTATGCTTACAAAAGAATGTAAATTATTCAAGTGTTGATTCCTAAACTGTTAACATTTAACTGATGATCACTCAATATTTATCGTCAACATTGATCAAAAAATAAGAAATGGGAACTTTTTGAAATCCTTTGCGCTAAGAATTTTATATTGTACCAAAAATATAACATTCAATAAACCTAATGATAATTAATAATCATATTAATAATAATAATAATAATAATAATAATAATAATAATATCACCATTATCTACAATAGCCCCCAAATTCTCTGGTACGGTCAAGAGTGGGGAGAGTCTGCTCTCCCTCTCGGAATGTTCTCACATGAACACGTGCATAGAACTACTGCCAGGTAGGTCCTACTCACTGTCTTGTCGCACCACCGGGTTGGTGGATACGGAGGATCCGTCTAGGGGAGTTGGAAACCCTCATTCCAAACAAATGGTGTACATGGACTCCAGGAGCGTAAGGAAATAAATGGCTTATGAACCTATTGTTGGTCACCGGTTACCATGGGACTGCATCTTGTGACGTTACTACAATGCCTTGTGGATCAGGCCTTTAGGTCAAAGGCTCGGGGTGTGGCCACCTAAGAAAACCAGTTTTTTTCGGTCTGGGCACCCGTGTAGTATCACAGCCCTCACATAAACCGAATGATTTATGTGGTGCATATCTGTTTGGTGCCTTCTTGCATAATGTTCATGTGTTTTAAAATAAATAAATAAATAATCTACAATCCATTGAGAATGTTACAACTGGATGAGCATATAATAAAGTTGAGATGATGAATAAATAATGCTACTTTCATTAGTTAGAAACATGACCTGAACGTATATACATATATACATACAAACGAATATATATCTATCTTGCATGTGACCTTAACAAATCAATTTATTATAAGTCCATAATCTTGTGAATTAGAAACAAGTGACTATTACATGGTCGAAATGAAGCGACAAAAAAATATAAGATTTTGTCCGACAAATATAATCAGTCAATCATATGTGTCCTTTATTCATATGATACAAATGAATAGAACAAATAAATTTTATATATATATATATATATATATATATATATATATATATATATAATGAGTGATAGGAATTGAAGGCGATCAGATCAGTATTTTAAGATCAGCTGATAATACATAAGGTAAATTATACGTCAATTTAATTAATCTTAATTAATGTGAAGAAGAAGAAGAAGAAATAAGAAAAAAACGTGAATACACATTGTTGACAAACTATTAAAATTAATTATTAAGATATTGCATGCAAGTTTGATTTCCAGAGACCAGGTTACATATTCAAATCTGAATTCAACTACTTTCCTTTGTTTTGCCAAGTAGTGTCAATGGCTGATCATACATAAAATGTGCGACTTAAAGTTTTAGTACATAAATTTGTATTTGATAAATTAGTCGGAACTCGGAATTCCACAAAATGTATCAAAGATGATAGTGTGAATCGATTACTGATTATTAATTTAGAGATCTAAACACTATCGGCAATGATAATAAAAGAGGGTTAGTGAATTTTCAACAATCGAATCGACTGCATCATGAAGACGTCAACATCTGAGGGAAACATGGGATACAATGGACATCTAGGATGCAGTTGGACGATCTAGACTTCGCAGATGATCTGGCCCTCATATCTCACAATCGCAACAACAAATGCAGGAGAAAACGACCAGTGCAGCAGCAGCCTCAACAACACTAGGTCTCAACATTCAGAAGGAAAAGCAAAGTCTCCGATACAACACAACATGCACCAATCCAATCACAATTGACGGAGAAGATTTGGAGGATCTAAAAACAATTACATATCTGGGCAGCATGATTGATGAACAAGGTGAATCTGATGCAGATGTGAATGTGTGGATCGGCAAATCAAGAGGAGCATATCTACAACTCAAACAACTTCCAATCAACACGAAAGTCAGAATTTTCAATGCGAATGTGAAGACAGTTTCTACTTTATGCGGCAGAAACTTGGAGAACTACGAAAGCCATCATTCAGAAGATACAAGTGTTCATTAACGGTTGTCTATGCAAAATACTTCGGATCCGTTGACCAGACACTATCAGCAACAACCTACTGTGGGAGAGAACAGACCAGATTCCAGTGGAGGAAGAATCAGAAAGAAGGGATGGGAGTGCATAGGACACATATTGAGGAAAGCAGCCAACTGCGCCAAAGGTAAGCCTTCACATGGAACCATCAATTCCGAAGGAGAAGAGGAAGATCAAAAACACATTACGTCGAGAAATGGAGATTGATATGTGAAGAATGAACAACAGTTGGATAGAACTAGAACGAAAGGCCTAGGCAAGTGGGGTCGACAATTCTGTTCGGCGGCCGGTGTTCCATTAGGAGTAACAGGCGTAAGTGAATTTTCAAACATATCATTATTACCAACCAATATCATATACACGTCTATTTCGTCTGAGTAAAAACCTCTTGCCTAAGAACACTTTAAATACACTCAAGATTGTGACTGCAGAGATAGTGAGATGAAAGCTGAATTCAAACGTTAGAAAGAAAACAGACTGTATGGACCAAAAGAATATTTGATTCTATATATTTTTTAAAGTCAATAGTTTTATTTCAGTTCAATGAAAGGCAAAATAACAATGATGCGTAATTGCCTTAATAAAAATACCGTTCATACAATTACACTTCATAATAAATATCGATCAAAAATCAGTCTAAAATGCAATGATATGATGTCACCTCTCGCTTCAAGTACAAAAAGCATTACTAAATAACAGTTGGAATCTATGCAGGTAAATAAATCAACAAAATAGTAACTCAAGCGTGAAATCACACAAAGCTATGTGACAGTCACTTAGATATGAGGTAATAAAGATCATGTTAATTGATTGATAAGTAGTGATCAATGTCATGTCTTATTTAGTCCTTGATAGACCGACTAAAAACAATAACTCGATATCATTATGTAGTATGATGTTTTGAGGCAATTAGCAGGGGATCCTAGATCAATGTTTTGTGTCAGTAGGTGTATGTGGATGTTTAGGGAAAAGTGTATCAAAGTGACACAATTCAAATCCAGATCACCCGTAGTAACAGTCAATAATCTGATCAATTATTCGAACTGAGATAGACTTTCAGTACTATCAACATGTTCATTCATATATATATACTTTAATATCATTCGTCTTTTTACAATGAACAAACGAATAGAATAGGAGGAAATATAACACAAACAACAATAGTCTTACCTAGTTTTGAACCTTTTCTACTGTATGATTCACAGTCCGATAAATCTAATTGATTATTCTAATGATAAAATATCAGAAAAGGGGAGAGAATGAACAAAATGTTGTATAGTAATATATTATTACTGACACAAAAATAAGTGAAGTAATTTTATAAATACCATTAAAAGATTTAAATCGGTAAGACTATAATCTATGGACGACCTTTGAGTGACGCTAGACTGACTTTGAGAGTGTCCACTTAATAACCAGGACCAAATGAGGGGGTCATAAACCAATGTGAGGAATTACAATTATAATTTGCAGTTGATGATTAAGGTTAGGAATTAGATTTAGGGTTTTTCATCATGTACCGACATCAGCTATAATGCCAAAACTTTATTTACCAAATGGATGAGTGAGTTTCGCGCCAAAATCTGAGACCTGTTATCTTATACGTGATTGGTTCATCCATAAATTATAGTCTTTCCCTTAAATATATAGTTAAACGATGATATCATATAATGTCCTTTCAAATGAACAGGGTTTATAAACTGTAACTAAACAAAAACAGGCAGTCTGTCACATTTGTTGAAAGCACATATCTCTTATTTTGTTAAAGTGAAAAAAGTAGAATTTCTGTAAGGAGATCTAAGAGTTTTAAGTTCAATGTTGTACGAGATCAGGAATGGGAATTTCGATGACGTCAATAGATCAGAGAACTCTATTCCGTATGCTGAGATGATGCATCGCGTGTGTAAGCGATTAACAATTCCTGTCCACACCAATGTGGAAGAATATTTCTTCTCTAGTTAATAGGAAAAGAAATAGTAATACTGATAGTCTCGTGAACTTGCAAATATGACTGTAGAAAGTATACCGCTTGTAGCAAGTGACGATGTGATGTATGCACTAATGATTCCCAATATGAGTTACATAGTTTTGTGCAGTCTGCTGGCTAAATTGTTCACGAACTGACGTCAGCTGACAAACTACTGATTGTGATAGTCATAGGTTTAATATAATGCAAGATCATGAATAAGAACTACTAAAGATCCTCAGACCAGAACGAAATAGCTGTTTCATGCCCCATGATTTCTAATGGTTGCTATTTCACTGTACCGTTGAGATGGAATTAAATTATAGATTAACATGCTCTGTTACCCACTATTAAGGAATAGGTTGGAATTCCAATTTCAGTTTCAACAGTCCAGTAGAATCAATAATTAACAACTATGAAGTCTGGCTGAAAGTTTTATATATAGACATTTACTTGAGTTACCATTTGATAAATTACACAAAGTTGCCACTAAGTTTAAAAATTGTGTACCTATCGATAATGAAAATCACAAACTGATATCAGACTAATAGAAACTGTAGGTTCCGTATGTCAGCGGTCTATAAATCAAATTATCAGTGTAAATATCTCAAATAGAACGCGTAAATAGATTGTTTAATGACATATATGAAGTGTTTAATCCAATTTGAACAGTTTACAAACAAACTATAGGATTATCTCTCTAAAGAAGCTCGAACCGTACTACCGAGCTAGGAGTTATGATCCTAACATACATATAAATTTGCTATGTTTGAAGTGATTACGGGTTCATCTAACTTGAGAATGGACCAGACTCTGTGACACAATGACAGATAAGCTACCAATTCCAACGCGTCCCAGCTCAGCTAACTAGACAGAGAAGTCCAAGATAGGAAGAGGGAAATATATTTCTCAAGCAGCCAGAAGCACGAATAATTACGACAAGCACAAATCAGCCGCTTATATACAACATAAAAATGTTCTTGAGAAGCGTTACAAAATAGCATATTAAAAGATACAACGAACCAAAAACGTTTAAGATCCTCCCAAGTAGGAAATACAACATGAAGGTGAAAATGAGTGCTTTTGGCGTGAATTGGGGATTTAACATCCCTGACAGTATTGTCACTTTCAAAGGCTTCAATTTAAGATATAATAATAATAATTCAATAGTCATTAACTTAAACTATGTCACAAGTAACTAACTAGATTTCTTAATTCCTATTTATCCACCATTTGGTGTTTGATATATAACGAGAAGACAAAAAAACAACGTGATTTTTTATTAAGTCATGTGTTAATTTCATATAAATGTTCAATAAGCAATCATGTGTTTCATTACTAATCATTAAATATAATACGTTGTCAAAGTGACTTACAATACCACCTGTTTATTGGTTGAGAGAAAGAATACTGTTTTTACTATTATTAGAATGAGTTTTGTGGATATTACAGTAAACTTAATAGTTGAGATTATGAGTCAATTGAATTTAGAACACCATGGAAAACCTGGAAGCACTGGAGGGCCGTTTCATCCTATTGTGAGACTCCTCAGCAGTGCGCATCCACGATCCCGCTCGCGGGACTCGAACCCAGGGCCTTCGGTCTCGCGTGCGAACGCTTGACCAACTGGACCACTGAGCCGGCACCCAATGGTGATAGTTTCTACCATCAACCAATCCACGAAATTGCGCGACCAACTTCCGTTGTACTGAGGTAGATACCTGTCTCTACCCGACAAGGATTAGCTCCACTGGTCACGGCTTCTCACTATCAACCAATCCACGAAATTGCGCGACCAACTTCCGTTGTACTGAGGTAGAGACAGGTATCTACCTCAGTACAACGGAAGTTGGTCGCGCAATTTCGTGGATTGGTTGATGGTAGAAACTATCACCATCGGATGCCGGCTCAGTGGTCCAGTTGGTTAAGCGTTCGCACGCGAGACCGAAGGCCCTGGGTTCGAGTCCCGCGGGCGGGATCGTGGATGCGCACTGCTGAGGAGTCCCGCAATAGGACGGAACGGCCGTCCAGTGCCTCTAGGTTTTCAATTGTGGTGGTCTAACATCAATCGGTTCATGATCTCAATCAAAAACAAAATATTTTTTAACAGCTATTAGCTTAGTTTAATAAAATTAAATAATGATGGTACATTTTATAAATAACCGGATATTCAAAGAAGATAATTACGATCTTGATAGTAATTCTTTGTAATGCAACACACACTGATGAAAATACTAAACAAAGATGTAAGCAAAATTGACTGTTACTTTATAAGATTGAAAACAATGTGTATGGGAGAGTTGTTTAATTTCAGAATAGCTTATTTAAATAGTCTACTAGATTTAATATCAGTTCAAACTTTATTCGGCCTATTTCGAAACACTGAAATCTAATGATCCATATAAAAAAGACGAGAGTACAATTTATGAACGAGACAATCAGAAACATTTGAGCGATATCGAGGCCACGGAGCCTATTTCAGTGCCCAATGCTCATGTACGATCGGTTTACAACGAATTGTAAAGTTATAATTGAGCAAGTAAAACAAATGGATTATAAAGAAGGTCCTTTATTTGTGATTTCGACAACTGCTGGACCTAGTACAGACTATCGTGGTGATGTTGTATTTCGATGTACTGTATGTTGGAGGAAAAAGTCTCCTAGATCAGGAAGTTTTTTTGTACGATCCCGATTGACACTCAGATTATGATAACTGTTGTAAACTGGATAATAAATGCTGTGACCTTTGCAAATGCTACTGAAGCTTCGGCACTTCAATGGTATGAACACTGTAGAGATATATGTGCAATGAAAATGACAGCCTTGCACCAGTCCTTTGGATGAATCAGAAAAGTCGTGTAAATCGACGAAACAGTCGTTAAAAAAAACTCAAATTCAATAGAGAAATAAGTGATAAGAAGACTGGGTATGTAGCAGTTCCTTAAATATACTTAGCAGGTCCTTGATATATATATATATATATATATATATGATAGATCATCTAAAAAAACACTTCCAGCGCAAGAGAAACCGATAAGCTACAAATATAATACCAATTATACGAGAGTATGCGCAACCGGGTACCACAATATACACAAATGACTGGAGAGCATACCGATGACTATTTAGACTTGGTTACATAGATCATAATGTCGTTCACAAGAGACATTTTGTGAACCCATCACGGGAGTACACATCAATAAAATAGAAGCAATGTGGTAGAGGCTAAAACAATTTCTGCGACCTTATTATGGCTCCAGAGTTCGATTATTATGTAAACCCATGAATAAATTCTTGTAGCGCATGCATTACGATTTCACAACTGCAGAGTCTCTTTCTAACCTTGTGAAGTTTTTAAACCATGTTAACGATGTGTATTCACCCTCATATTTTTTGGTTTTTGTATATTTTCACTCTATACAAACTTTTTTTTAACTGGCTGAAATTCCTCAACGTCACTTACGATTACTTCAAAGGTCGTTCATAAATTATAGTACCGCCGCTAATCTTACTAGATATCTATAAATAAAAAATACTTCCACATTTAACATACCCGATTCTAAGAAAAATGATCAGTCGGCTTACTTGATATCGAACTGAAGAAATATCATTACCAACTAATCTTCTTGCTGGTATAGGTGATCTCAATTCCGTTGTGGGTGTAGTTGGCATGCTATTCCAAAAGAATTTTTCATCATGATTATTATCTATGTGCCCTGTTCGATTAGGCAACCGATAGAAATGCGTATGTGCAACTTCCATAAGCATAAATGCTGAAGCCAAACCACCACTTTTCAAAATACCAGTAGAATAGGATAACCAACTAGTGTTACTCAATGGATTTGGAATATTTGACGATGGTGATTTATCTCTAGTAATGCGATCATATTGATTTGTAGTTGGGAATACAATATCCGGTCGAAAACTATATTCTAAACCGTTGATCATTTGTTTAAGCGTCCATAAAATTGCTTTATATTGATCCCACTGTTGAATAGGCTAATAGAAGATAGAAATTAAAAGAAACAAGGTAAATAAATAAGACCTAAAAAAATGATAAGTTGAACACATTGGTCACGAGTTAATCTGAAAAACCAAAGTTTTCAGTGACAGTGAATTCTATGAGCTGGAAGCTCTAATTATTATCTTATACAACATGATTGGCACCTTGCTTAAATGGGAATGATAATTTGGAGTTATCCTATGACGGTCAATTCAGTTCATTTTTAGACAACATGCACCTTTCCGATTCAGTTAACTACTTTATGGGTTTAGCTTCTGATAGTTTGATTAGTTGATTCTTACACCCAATCTGTATCAGCATCTCTTTTGATTTAGTATCCTTTGCAGACTTTTACAGCTTTAAGATTTCCTAAATTCATTATCGTACGACTTTTTCTGTCACATCCATAGTTGTCTGTATTCATTGATATAGTTGACGATGTATTGTGTCATTTAAAGAATAATCTATGCTCGTGTGCACCTATGAAGAAGGGCGTCCCATACCCTACTATATGGTTTCTCGTACAATTTACTAAGTAAATTATATCATTGTTTTATCCTTCCATTTGAATAAAATAGAGTGAAGGGATTGTGTTAGTTTGTAAAGTATGCCGATTACAATGGTTCGTAAAATACTTTGTTGATTTAAGACAATTTTCATGGCTTATTTAGATCGAGTTGTGGAAATAGGTAAATAATTTTTTCTCCAGTAAAAGTGCTACTGTAATATTTAGCCGTTTCGAATGTCTCTAAATGTCTTATTCAATGTACTAATTGATTTGTCACTAATGGAATTAGATTTTCTACACACTTTTATCTTTATATGGATAGTGGTTAGGAGTGAAATCCAGGATGCGCGTTTCGTTCTATTCGAGACTCGTCAGCTGAATGTACCTGCATCTCGGAGTTGATGTTCACTCTGGGACTCAAACCCAGTACCGAACGCTTCAAACACCACAGCGTAATTACAAAATCATCATACTTACCACATCATCAATATGCAATTGATTTGGTAGGACATCTTTTGAGAGATTATCATTTATACGAGCAATTAACAGATTTCGATAATTCTCATCTTGTAATAATGTGTTAATTTGATTACGTGAAAATATATTTGGTATTCGACCTTGTTTAATGGATTTTGACAAATCAATGATTGTACGTTCATTTTCCAATCTGAACAAACAATTAAAACCAGGGAATGATGATACAGTGTAATTTATTATTTATTTGAACACATGAATAATGGTACCGAATACATATGGCGCCACACAAGTCACTTGATTTGTGTGTGAGCTGTGGTACTGCCCGGATGCCCAGATCGAAGCAGGCGGTTTTCTTAAGAGGCCACACCTGGAGCGTTCGACCTAAATGTCTAATCCACAAGGCATTGGAACAACGTCACAAGACGTAGTCGCATGGTAGCCAGTGACCGACAATGCGTTCATACGCCATTTGTTCCCTCAGGATCCTGGAGTTCATGTGCACTATTGATTTGGAATCAGGGTTTTCCACTTCCCTCATGTGGATCCTTCATACCCATCGAACTGGTCAAAGCGTCAGACATTCGCTTTTCATCCTCTCGATTTCGTAAACAACACATTCACCACGAGAATGCAATGAGTAGGACTTCCATGTCGGTGAATGTATATGTATGGCCATATGAGAACATTTCGAGAGGGAGAGCTGACTCTCCCCACCATCGGCCGTACCAGAGCATTTGGGGGCACTAAACATATTTTTATTGAATAATAAGGAGTTTTATGTAGTGTTATTCATCTTTAGAGAAATTTCACGTTATTCTTTCAATCTGTTCAAATTCAATCAAGCACAAATAACAATCATGATGAAATGATGTATATTTATTTACTCTGTAGATTCAGATTACTTGCCTAGGACTAAAACAATCCTACTTTCTCTTTTGGCATATATGGGTTGTAGCTAACGGTGGAATGCTATTTGTGACTCGTTAGCTGGATGTTTCTGCATACCAGAGTTAATATTCACTCCGGGACTCGAACTCTACCTTCTGCTTCAAAGGTAATCGCTTCCATCTCGAAATCATTCAAAATAATCATCATTGAGCTCAAAACTATTGCACTGAAGTCTGTACCATTAAAATACTAATGTGTGAGTGCGAATGATAATGACTGGTTGTCTGCTTAGTTAGACAACCTCCTCAGCAGTTCGCATTCACAATTCCGTGACCGGGAACGAACCAATGATCTTCGTCCATGATTTAAATATAATTGTATAAGATCCTACATTGTTTTGCGTCATTTTCCATCCCACAGAGTTTTGTGACGAAGAGACGCAACATTTTGGTGTTTTTAATGGCTATCCCGCTGAGACTGAAGTATTTCAAAAGGAGCTTAAACATTTGAGGAGCAATATGTCAAATCTTGTGATTTAAAAATAAAGATATGTCACCGAATATACAAACCAAAAATTAGCAAGATACTGACCGTTTTTTATGTATTTGTAAAGCAGAAAGAGGAACATCTTTGAATGCCAAACTTCGAAGACGGTCTATAAAGATTGAAAAAGACAAAAAAGATAAATGAACTATGTCTTAGACTATCAAAAACTTTATCACTGACTTAATTATTCAGCTGAACATTCCTCAACTAGTGTGAGGATCAGAAGTACATATCTTTTATTACTGACCTCTGTAAACCTCCCAATCTACCAACAGATATATATGAGATCCGGTTATAAGAAACAAAAAACTTCCCAACTAATGTTAGTCGGTGAGACTATAATTTATGGACAACCTTTGAGTGACGCTAAAGTGACCGCGTGAGTGTCCACCTAATAACCAGAATCAAATGAGGGTTATAAACGAATATGAGGAATTAGGATTTACAGTTGATGGTTAAGGTTAGGAATTAGATTTAGGGTTTTCATCATGAACTGACATGAGCTATAATTCCATGAATCTATTCAGCCAAATGGATGAGTGAATTTCGCGCCAAAATCCAAAACCTACTATCTTATACATGATTGGTTCGTCCATAAATTATAGTCTCGCCTGTGTGAAATAGAAATACTTAGTGGGAATTTTCAATGGTTATAATAACTGTTTCAGTTCATACATAAAGAAATGATTTGCAAAAAAGATACGGTAGGATAGTGTTATTTTAACATAATTATGCAGTGAACCATGTATTTCAGACACTTGAAAAATATGTAATCGGCCCAAATAATACATTCAGATTTTAAGTATACATGGATTGTGACTAACAATGAGATCCGAGATGCACGTTCCCAGAGTTCATGCGATAGATATTACTGGATTCCTATGCTAATATTCACACTAAGACAAAAACCTTAACAGCTATCGTACTACACATAAAAGCGTTATTCACCAAACTATTGAATGGTGATTAGTCTTTATTAACACCACTATACCTATTAATCATAAAATGTTTCAAACCCTTAAAAATACTCATTACATAACTAATATCAATTTAAGAATTTCCATAATAATTTGTTCTTACCAACATCTTGTTCAGACGTTGACATGGCTCAAAACCGTTTGCAATGGCGCAGGTGCATACACTCTTTGTGTTCTCCCAAATTCTAATCTTCTGAATTATTCATGTCCCTTATTTTCTTTCCAAACTTTATTTCACTGTATTATACTTCTTGAATAACATCTTCAAGCTCTAATATTTCAGATTACTTCTTATACTTTTATTACCTCTACAACTACGGGATTTGAATCGACCACTGCATCTCTGTGCTAATGTGTTGTGGCAACTCGAACTGATGTACGTACGTACGAAGCTCTACGTTGTTACTGACTGACTGACATCTTGTTCAATGAAATTACCACATAAGTTTTAATTTATTAAAACAAATAAACAAATGAAAATCCTACAAAAGACTAGTCTTTTTGAAGAATAATTGACATAACTAACTTGATTTTAACAAATCACCAAATAATAAAGTAACAGATGTATCCCAACTCAAATTATCATCACCAAAATTATTTGATGTAACTCTAGAGCTTTTTTTCGAATCATTACCATTGCCCACAAAAATAGAGGAGGATAAACGAGATACAAGATGTAAAGTATCGTTTGTCGAACGTCTCGATGAAATTGATGACGATCTAGTTAGAGTACCACTTTCTGAATTAGGAACTCCTAAAGACTGTATTCTAGTGTTCTATAAATAAAAAAGGGATAGAAACTTTGGTAGAAGTACTTAGATGAAGATATTATCTTAAAACAATGACTTTAAGGAAGAAGCAACAAATCGTCTTGGTTTATGGAACCATTTAATAAGAATACAAAATATTGATGGTTTTTTAAATACAATTAACGTAACTTAGTTAATAGGTTCAGATTCTATTTAATTTCACTAATTTGCATTATCCCGTCGTGGGTAATGCGAACTACTATTAGTAAATCGAAATCCATACCCATCTGGAATCCGTAACTAAGACCATAACGCGTTAACTCTAGGATGTATGTACATCTAACTGACAGTTACCAAACAAGACAAAACGTGCGCCTCGGATTTCACTACCAGCCACATTCCATCTATTCTATGAAGCTGAACAGTTATCACTTAGCTGTAAAACCGGATTTATGACTATTAATTAGAGGATAAAATATCATGTTTTTAAAACTGTATTAATTGTTTCAAATCCACCTATCGTACAGTCGGTATACGACGTCTTTAGAAGCAAACGTACCTTCGAAACTACTTAACATTAAAGTAGTAAAATAAATTACAAAAATTAAGGATTTGACGACGATTAAGTGTGAAATTCATTCAAACAAAAGTCAACACCGGAACAAAAACATACATAAATTAAAATTGGATCAATGTGCAATCCATTATTTTTTAGTTTCATTTACCAGATCAGTAACTATTTGAAGGTTAATTCCCATTAATTTTGAGAATCCAGTGCAACTTGTCGTGCTTAGTTGAACATTTGGGCTACTTGTTCCTACCATCTAGATATTTTAACAAGTTATCTGTTTCCTTGTTTGTTTTAACATACCATTATATCTATTAATTGCATAACCTATTCAGGTGTGTTCATGAAAAGTGTACAACCTTTCGTTGTACAAGTTGCAATGGCAATGTGCATCGAAAAGAATGAACATTAATCAAATGTCTATTCATAAACAGCTAACATCTAACTGCCGATCACTTAATATTTATCGCAAGGATCGATCAAGAAGTACGAAATGGAAACTTGTTGGAATACTATGTGCTAAGAATACTATATTGTACCAAAAATATAACACTGAATGAAGCCATTAATAATTATTATTATATGTATCACTGATAATCTAAGATCGTTCTTCGAACAACTGTATACGAAGAAACTATTTCTTTATAATATAATCTCATATCGACGAACTATTTGGATCATTGCTGGAGCGGTGACTTAGTGGTCAGGGTGTTCGACTACCAGTTACTAAGTCACAGATTCAATTTACGCTCCATTCACTTCAATCTTAACAACCAAATAGTATTATTAATCTTTACACTTAGAGTGCTGCATATATCCGAGTACCAGTTGAATGAGTTGATTAATCCACTTATTTTTTTTACATAACCTACACCTATTCAAACTTAGACAAAATAAACAGTTGAACAAATAACTTAATGGAATACATAACTAATAAAACATATCTGAGTACTTTTCTTTTAAAAAACTTATATCCTACCGTATTTATCAGTTGTTCGTTAATATTCCTGGATCGGACGTTATCAGAGTGGATTGACTAAATATATACATAAAAAAACAACAGTTAAGAATAAACAAATCAGAATTAAAGAAGATATTGAACATTCATTGATGAACAAGGAGGATAGGATGCAGACGTAAAGGTGAGGATTGGCAAAGCAATGGCCGCATTCCTACAATTAAAGAATATATGGAACACAAAACAACTGTCTGTCAAACAATATAAAAGACAGAATCTTCAATACGAATGTCAAGACAGTTCTAATGTGTGGAGCTGAAACATGGAGAACTACTACAACCATCATCAAGAAGGTAGAAGTATTTATATATAGTTTTCTACACAATGTACTTAACATTCATCGGCCGGATACCACCAGCAACAGCAGACTGTGGAAGAGAACAAACCAGCTTCCAGCTGAGGAGGAAATTAGAAAAAGAAATTTAAAGTGGATAGAATATACATTACGGAAATCACCAAACTGTATCACGAGACAAACCCTAACTTGGAATCCGAAGTGAAGCGGAAGAGTGGACAGCCGAAGAGCGCATTACTTCGAGAAATAGAAGCAGATATGAGAAGAATGAATAACAACTGGAAGAGCTGGAAAGAATTGCTTGGGACAGGGTTGGATGTAGAGTGCTAGTGGTTGACCTATGCTCCTCCACGAGTAACAGGCGTAAGTAAGCAAGTATTGAACATTGAAAAATAATGGCGATAACTGAAATTGACATATTTATTTATAAATTGATACAATATAATTAAATAATATTAAGTCGACTATTCAGTTAATCTAACAATCATAATAGAGTCTGACAAAAATGTACTTTAGTCAGAGTTATTAAAACGAGATGGATAACAAAGAATTCTAAATAATAATCGTAGCACCAATGATAGTAAGAGAGAGAGAGACTAAACATTGAAAATATGGTTCGAGAAGAAAGGAATGAAAAGGTATGTATGAAGGAATACCATAACTACGGATCCACAAAAAAAAACAAAGAGCGAATGTATCCACACGTTAACTAGGTAGTTTGTATTAACTAATAGTCAGTGACAACGTAAAATCTGGTAGGTATTTACATCGATTCAAGTTGCCATACCACATTAGTATCGAAATATGAAGTTGCCAGGCCAGATCCCAGAATAGTAGAGTTAGTAACATTATCAAGAAAATATAAATTAACGAAATAGAAAGAGGAAAAAAATATGGGGAATTAAGAATCCCAGGATTTGGGGGAAGACAAAGGATGAATGCACCTGCGCCATTGTAAACGATTTCGAGCTATGTCATCTAAAGTCTCTAATCATTGGTCCGCCTCTGAATTGTAAGCGTATATAGAGAGGCTTTTTATTCACAGTTAGGCATTCTCTATGCTCTCTTTTATTGGCTATGTTTTTATTTATAAAGTTCTCGGGATATCCATTTTTCAGGGTTGGGTATAATGCCTTTGTTTCATCTAGAGAGTACATGGTATTGATTCTATGATACAGTGTCTTAATAAGCTTTCTTTTGTATTGCAGAGGAACAAAACTAAAAAAAGCTTGGGCCAGATTGTCAGGCGAAACGTTGGATTTACTTCAAATTCTTTCGCTGAGATTTTACAAATACATTCTTCCTCTTTAAAACTAAGAAAGTTTGTATATTGGCCCGTCTAAGTAGTTTTCTTGTTTATGTTTCTTCTTAGTGACCCGTCTTTTTTCCTTGTATGTAGAACATCTAGAAAGGCTATTCTATCCCCCCCCCATCTTAATTCTCACATGTGAATTTTATAAACGGGTGAACTGTATTGAAACGCTCGAGTGTTTCTATGAAGTTCGTATGGTTGTTACAAAGGATAAATATATCATCCATATATCGACAGTAAAATGAAAAAATTGTCAATTTCTTGTGCCAGTGGGTCGTTTTCTAGTTTAGAGAGTAACATGTCATCCAATATCCTCAATTAATTGAATAATCAACCAACTTAGACAACTATTTCTACCAATTACATAACTTAGTGAAGATTTGCATACTTCATCAATTTCATTACAGAAAGAAACATAAACATGCTAATTTCTAATACAACTTTGATCTATTGACTTTATCAATGTTATCTCAAGTTTAAATGATGATGATAATGATATACGACTCCTGAACGATACGATCGATCATTTAGGAATCTATAATAATATGACATTGGAAATCAGTATTCGTAATTATTAGCACCAAGTCTATAAACTATAAACACAATTAACATAACACGTTATAAGATTGTCAAACATCATATGTACATACATTTATACTAACGTAGAAAAAATGACTTTGAAAAAGTGTTTATCTGTGTGCCAGAAAGAAAGAAAATCAAATAAACAAGCACAAAAATACGACAAACTAATCATGTTTCAACAAGCAATTAGTTTCTATTGTATATCATCAGCTAACATCGCGGATAACTAAAAAGAAATAAGTAGTATGTTGGCAGATGCAGACTATGTGGTTCAGGTCCGCGTGACTATCGTAACCAATGGTTGGAGACTCTTGGTGTTATGGCTCAGAATCAATCAAAATGGTGTAGATGTATATACTCTCTCTCTTCTCTTAAACTATGAGATTAAAATCGCCCCATATATTTCTTTCTTCCTGTACTATATCCTTATTGCAATCTTTCTTTTATATATTACCACCACTGAATTAACTACTTCTATGAATCCGGTGTTCATCTTGCTATGCTAAAGAGGTATGGAAACTTGGACCGATGCATATATATGTCTGGTCCTACGTTGTAGCTGACTGACTGATGTTATTTATTTGACAATATCAAAATTCTTCCGTTAAAAAATTCAGTAAACTTATTAATAGAGAATCCAAAGCTTCTTTCAAACAATGACTACAATTATTACAGTAACTATTCGATGAACTATTATGGAATTAGTATTAGCAGATATTCACTAGTGATTGGCTTCAAAAGGTATTTCATGGAGTTTTAGTGAGAAACAGTGACCAGTGAAGATAGAAACTCACTGAAGACAATGGTGGATGTGTCGCCCAATTTCGTGGATCGGTTGAAGTTAGACATTAACAATGTTGGATACCAGATTAGTGACCTAGTGGTTAGGCGCTCACGCGTGAGACTGGTAAGTCCTGGGTTCGGATCTCGCGAGGTGGGATCGTTGATGAGTACTGTTGAGGAGTCTCACAATTGAACGAAACGGCCATCAAGTGTTTCCAGGTTTTCCATGGTGTTCCAGTTTCAAATGACTCATGAAATCAACTATTGATATTACGGAATTCTTAATCGATGTATAAAACTGTTTTCTTTTTCAACCAACCATTAGAAAACTATTAATGTTAATTCATTTGTATTGGTTATTTGAATCTTTCCGTTGATGTTATAGACTATCATTGGATAATTGATGTTAATATTATTAGCATTTAAGAAAAACCAAAATCAATCAGGCAAGCTAATTTCTCTAATACTATACTGTTACAATAAATGTTTAAACTCGGTTCACAACTGTCTTCTTTATGTGATTTAATGTATCAACAAATAAGCTTGCACAAACGATCAAGATAATTAGGATTCATGATTGAGAGTACACGTAATATCGTTTGTGGGTTCTAGGAACAGCTGTCAAGCAGCGAGGTTCCGTTATGTATAAAGTTCCATGTAGGTGTGATTAATACACAAATCAACAGCTACCATTATTGGATAAGCCTCTGTTTGTACTGTTGGACAGTTTTAAAGCGAAGCTAACCACAAACTACATCGTCAAAGATCGCTTTCAACTCGAATATAAATATCATTCGGTAAAAGTGTTGTAGTTGAACAATTTAATTGAAAAGCCATGAATGATATGGAGAAGGAATATGTTTGGAAATAAAGTATTTCTTAAAAACATGTTTGTTAGCTATAGTAACCCCCATGGACGTAGCCCTAACACCTTAAATACCTAGCATTATTTGAAGAAGCTGAGACTAAGTGGTAAACCAGTGATCCTAGACGATCCCTGAAACTGATGTTCTTTATTGAAGTATATTCTGTAGAAACGTTTTAATGACTGAACGAAACTGATCTTATTTGTGTTCTCACTTGAAGCGCATTTTAAAGGCGAACCATTTGCATATTACCCGAGACACTATCATATGTACAATAACATCAAAAACTGTATCTGCGGAAAAAATATTCACGAAAGACAACAACCATGATATCCAGAACTCGTCTCATGATACATTTTTCATTTAAAATTATATAGAATAATATACACGAACTCACCTCCAGAAATTCGACAATGTACTTTCCTAAATAAAAAAAACGGGGGAATGATAAATAAAACTCATATTCCTGTTTAAAACATTTTTCCACTTCATAAACACTCAATTCAGAATCAGTGATGAAAATGTAATCGGATAGGAAATCGATAATCAGCTAACATTGTTAAGCTTTAAACAATACAAACTAATCAGTCATTGAGTAGAGACCAATGTTATGCGGCTGAATGTATCCACATCGAGAGCCTGTTTGTCAAAAAGGTACCACGGGAATAAATCACCTAACTTCATTCTACATTTATAAGGACTAAACCTTAAAGTCAAAGACTCAAAGGATGAACATTTAAGAAATATATCTCCTTTGTATTAGACACCTAATCAGTATTACATCTTTCACGTATGGATAATGATCAGTGCTGAAATACATCTGTCAATGAACAGCATGACGAAAAAGCGAACACAAACTGTGATTGATATCAGAATAGCCGAATCACTTATTTATAAATAGGAGTTCATTATAAAGTTACCAATATTTATTCATTTTTACACGCCAATTTTCTTTTTCAACCGTAGACTAAATAGCGCTATTTGTTTGAAGTCTATGTGATGGGAGTTAATTAATTTATCCAATATATGGCTTTAAGGTACAATTTAGTTACATGAGAGCTAGTGATACTATGCGACTGCCCAAAGCTAAATACATGAAATGTGGAGTTTAAAATTGGGATTTAATGGTTAGAAGGATGATGAGTACTCTAACCAATAAACCACAGATAGATCCAAATATCTTTTCATCAAAAAAAAATAAAATTAAAAACAATCGTTTATGTTGTTAAGTTTACATACATTTAGCAACTTACGGCATTTTCCAATGATAGACTACAACGTGTAGTACTAGGTTCTTTGCTATAAACTAACTCTGTTGGTGGAGTGTAAAATTCAGTTAGACAATCAGGCAATGGTTTATTTGCTTGAACTGAAATACAATCTTCCATCTCTTTCGATATTGTATGGTTTGACACAACGGTTTCATAAGAATGATTTGAGTCAGAGTCATCGGAATAGGTTTTAAACATACCTGAGAAAGAAAAAAAACACAGGACATGATTTTTAAAAGATTCGGTCAGCTACAGTATTACTTTGACAAATCTTAATCTCAATCAGGTTGCTTCGAAGGTCTTAACTGGAAAATATGAATAGCAAATCATGGAAAGAATTTTATCTCGTTAGAGCCCCTTCGATTCAGGTAAATGGACTGTATCTTGCAACATCAAAAACACAAACATACACATAGAGGGTGTGGCACAAGGCTAATTTTATTAAACTCTGTACTTGGAAAATGAATTGCATTAAATCTATCATATGGCATCATTCCACATAACGAAAGCCACGTAGTAAACGCGACAGAAAAAACGCGTATGACATAGAAAAAAATGAATAGTTGTTTTCTAACAACATTTTTTCCACAATAGAATTATCATATTATGTTTTTTATTTGCTTATATGATTGAAAAAATGAATTCCGTAGATACAGGAGTACTACAAGGCAGACAGTCAAAACGTCAGGACATAACTGCGATTATTATTTTCGTTAATAGAACGTCTATGCCGAAATCAAATACAAATGGAAGAAGTGAACATCCCTTAAGAAAGAGAAAGATATTATCAAGAGAGAAACAGATCACAAACAGGTAATAAGAATGACTAGCGAGAGTTTTACGCGTAAGCTCATTTTTCACTCAGCGGTTTCCTCACGTGCCAGAAATCATTAGAAAACGATTATGATTCAATATCAGTGGTTTGTAGATACTTTTCATTTTCAAAATTCGTGTCTCAAATCTGTAGCGTTGGATAAAACGATCTGTACTGTGTATTCTATAATTCAAATCAAGATATGAGCATCTAACACGTGCTATGTTCTAGGTAGGTAGCTATATACCTAACAAATACATTGGTATTTGGGTTCACTAGCTTACTAAACTCTCCATAAGTTACAGGTTAAACCTACTGTGTAAAAACGTAGACACACACTGTAACTATAAATTGTGATTTAAATCCGTGCATAAACCTTAGTACCCCAATAGTAATTTAAAGGTCCACACAACACAAACTAAAAACAGATATCACTGAAGAGATTAACAATAAATAAACAAGAAACATTCTAATCCATTTACATTAAAACTTTCAGAGCTAATTTTAGCGACCAATATAAGTACTTCTTACAAACTAACAAAGTCAATAAAATCTATTTTCTAAAGTACTTACTTTGGTTATTTATTCTTTGAAGAAGTGGCCTACACTAAGTCAAAAAATCTAATTTTTCTACTCATTGGGATATCTACAAATATATTGGTTTATTTATAACAACCTAACCAATGCTCAATTTATTCGAAATTATCAAATCAAACCTTGGTAATGATACTGTGGTGTGTGTTACTTATAGTGACATAAGTAGTATATGATGATAGTCGTGAACAGAAGTTCTGGCAGCAGAGAAACAAGGGGGTCGAACAGTAAAGAATAGAAACAAGATGCAATTTGTATGAAAATGCAAGAGCAATGAAGTCTGAGTCATTTTGAGACAACTGGTGGACATTTTGCAAATTAAGCATTTACTTTATGATTGTTAGATGTTATAAACAAGTCCTGTAATTTTGTGCTAAATACATCTGATTGCCCTACCGGTGTTCTTGTTCACTACAATACCTAAAAAAAATACTTACTAGTTTATTTCTAAGCAGATCGTGACAACTTTCTATTGTTATTTAAAGTATTTATTCAATTTATAGTCTGTATATAAACACTAAGTTAAGCAATTCTAAACCGTCTTAGTACTTCAACTGCAGTTATCATCTGAACATCAACAAGCCGGTCTGTCTATCTATAAACAGTGTTCAATAACTTCAGACACTATCAGACATAGGTCAAAATAGAAGATCATGGAGATTCCAATGTACTTTCCATTAACATTTTTCATATAAGTGAAAGCAACTTGATTCACTGAAAGGAGTTGATATAACGGGATAATATAATTACAGTATTAGGTCAATATTTTAAGTATCAACTTATTATGAACTTCAGCAAGGATGATACATGTACACTTTGTTCAGCATGAAGTTTTAAGGTCGATTTAGTAAGAATTTCATTTAGTAAACCACAAGTGTGGACTTTCGTTTAGCTTGACATATTCCCTGTAACGATTCGGGTGAACTAAATTTAGTGCGTTTTGTACAGTAGCTCTATGTATTTTCTAAATGCGATATTATTGAATGTAAGAGTGAGTACATAAATGATCATATTTTGGTCTAATAACGATGTGATATTTGAACTTTTTGGGGACGTATTTTTTTAGAGTCAATATACATTTACTGTACAAATTTCGTATTCTCACTTAGCGTCGTGGCAAATCGAAGTGGTTCTTGTTTCAAAGTGTAAGCAGTACAACCCAGGAATTGAAATGGTTCCCGATTGTCCAATATAAGCAGTAAGATTGCAGACTCAACAGAGTTTATATGTACATAACAGCGACGACATACCAGATAAAATAAATCCCTTCTAGGTTATACTTTCAACTGAACTCTATTCTCTCATCGTATACCACTCATGCTCACTTATTTCTTGTTGTTGTTGGCACTCTACTTCCCTCTTTTATATCTTCACAAAGCTATCCCTTTATTTTATAGCCTATACATTGTTTGGTGATTAGTAGTTGCATCAGAATCGAATAAGGCATAAACTAGATATTTTGAAATTTACTGAAGAAGCATAGTATTAAAAATGTCAAAAACAATATACTAACCAATAAAATCATTGGTTTGAGTATCATTCGATAAATTATTCGTATCATTATTTATGCTATCTGTATCAATCTCTGTACTTATATCATCAGAAAATCGTCTATTTATGATACGTTTTGCTAATTCAAAAGCTTGAAATAACATTAACTGGTTGGAATTTGATAAGGATAGATTAAGCCTGGGAGATGATTGGTTTGATATGGGTGTATTAGTGGCTGTAGCATTGGCATACTCGATTAATTTGTCACAACAATCAAAATAGACTGGTTTTAATTGATTTTTATACCAGTATAACTTATCACCAATCAATTCTGTGGAATAAACTCCTGAACAGATACGTTGATAGGCTTCATTCAGTGCACAAATTGAAGATTCAGCAAAATATTCAACAGCCTAGAATAATATATGAAAAAGGATGGATAATTTAGATGAAGTTAGATGCGAACTATTACTTGATACCAATTTTCTAGTCTTGAAAAGGTAATACGTTTATCACGAGACTTGTAAGAGATACCCCTAAGGGGTCGTTGGTGAGTACCATTAAGTTCTATGCTAAGAAACAGAGCTGTATCTCAGTAATTCGGGCATCCGGATCTCAGGAGGTAGATTTCAGGTTCGAACTCCGACCTGCCTGTTTCGATTTAAGTAACCGATTAATATCAGTACTCCTTACACTTTGAGTGTCGTTCATAAACAATTATCAGGTAAATGAGTTACTTATTAAACATTACTATGTTAAAAAGAAATAGTTATTTAATTCTCAGTAATTTTATACGGTTCCCAAGTCGAAATCAGTCTATTAAATGATAGTTGTGTCTTTTAGAAGGTGAATAAAATAAGCTTCCGTCATTAGTTTCAGCTTCTTCTTTGAGTCGCGCGAATTACATTATGTTTTTGTAATAAGTATCAGTTCTCTAGGGTTATAACAACAATATATCTTCGAAACTGAAGAAACTCTATAAACCTTCCATCTTAATAAAAATATGAGATTAAATGATAAAATGACATCGATAGATTTCGTCGTGAAGAGTTGAAAATAATGTATTAAACAACAAGCAACTACATAAAACTGAATCAAATCAGAATAAATGGTGTGTTGTTAAAAGCAGCAAAATGTACGCAACGTTTAACAATCGGCTTCTAGTCAATTAGATCACACACTCACCTATCTCGGTTTCGGTTTACCGAATAGTATTATAATGAATGAATACTCAGGTGGGGACAACCAATTTGCTATTTGATACAAAATTACAGGATCTCTTGGTAAAATATGAGAACGATATATTGAACATTTCACTTGCAACCTTCCATCATTTTTGCTTTACATTCTGTATGATTCTTCCAATTCACAATTCCTTTCTATTTCTGTTTATGTTTTCTTCAAGTCGACTATCATAGCCTTATGCTTCCAGGGTTTCCACTTCCTATTGGTGTTACATACTACTTATGTCGATAGACAGTGTAGCGAGTCATGTTACGAGGAGGGTAGGATACAAAGGATCTGAAACAACAAACGGAGTCACTTAAATAAAAACATATTGGCGAAAGCTTTTATAGTTTGATCGACTGATTGTGCATGCTCAAGTCTTTGAAACATGGTCTATGTCATAAATATACGGAGCGATAGTATGATGTATGAAACAGTTACATAACTGCCGTTTAAATACATTCAGAAAAATAAATATATGCATATAGATTTGTATAATGGTACATACCTGAGTTTTTGCAAGCATGCTAGTAAACAAACATGGCTTTGGACGAGACTTCATAAAACTTTCATACTGAAATGCAACGACTGGCCGAGGAAATAATCGTAAAGTACGTATATGATTAGTAAATCCACCTAGAATGTTGTTTGTATTGAAGAAGAGAATCTATAAAACAGAGGGAAACAGTGAATAATGATATTAGTCAATCAATTAATTTCACAGATTGAAATCATGAGTCAGTTGAAGCTAGACCACCATGGAAAACCTGAAAGCACTGGACGGCCGTTTCGTCCTAGTACGGGACTCCTCAGCAGTGCGCGCCCACAACCTCGCACCCCGCGGGACTCGAATCCGGGACCTACTGGTTTCGCGCCAGCACTTAACCAGTAGACCACTGAGCCGCCATCCAACGGTGTTAATGTCTAACTTCGACTAATCCACGAAGTTGCGCCACCGTATACCATTGTCTTCAGTGAGCTGATATCTCACAACAGACCTGGTTGAACCCCACTGGTAACGGCCTCCTAACTAGAACTCCAGGAGTATCTCTTGAATTCAGTCACTAGTGAGCAGATGATTATTATCAGAAGGGGTTGGTGGAGATTTTAGAAATTTCACCAGTAAGTCCTGGGTTATTGCAGGGATGCCCAAACCGAAGTAGGTGGTTTTCTTAGAGGGCCACTCCCCGACCTGTTGACCAGAAGGAATAATCCACAAGACGGTGGAGCAACGTAAGGAGGTGCAGTCCCATGGTAACCGGCAACCATACGCTTTTTGTTCCTTCAGGATACTGGAGTCCATGTGCACCATTGGTTTGAAATCAGGTTTTTCCAATACACCTGTGGATTCTCCATATCCACCGACCTGGTTAAAGTGCCGGACACTCGCTTTTTGTCCTCTCAGTTTCGTAAACAGCACCCCCAACACGAGAGGGAAGTGAGTAGGACTTTCCTGTCAGTGTCCGTAAACGTGTGGTCATGTGAGAGTATTTCGAGAGGGAGAGCTGACTCTCCCCCCTCGACCATATCAAGGCACCATATCCACACCTATCAACATCCCTCATATTAACTATCAGTAATTTCATAGACTGGCTCAACATTTCGGTTTCAATCTACTCCTACCACAGTCTACAATAGCATTATCATTCAAGCTGTATTAGACCAGTAATTTTTGTATTCAAAAGCTTAATAATGACTTCTTAGCTGCTTCCTAAATCCTCAGTTTCCCTAGATTGCAGCCCCCAAAAGTGGATGAAAAGTTCGAAGTACGAACAAATGCTTTACTTTACAGTTTTTTAATATGCAGAAGATCAAGAGTATTTAAAGGTCTATGTATAACCATGATCCTGTAGAAACTTCTGGAAGCATGTAGAACATAATAAAGAAAGTAACTATCTAATCAGAGTATGGTACATGACCCATTAATTTTGGGAAATTGAAAATGGATGCATATTAGATCAAGTGTTTTCATCCTTTTCCTGAATATTGAAGAATTTATCGAGGAACTTATCGGGGGATGCCAAAAAAGATCTTTACAAAGCCATACTAATGGAAAATCTACACATATTATTATCATTATTATCGTTAGTGTTATTACCAGTTCCGCTTACCATAGATACACGTATACCGACATCAATAGAATCTTTTGTGAGTGTATACAATAAAGGATCAAATTTCGATAACTCAAATGCAGTTGTACGTGCTACAGAAACAGGCCAATGTTTCGAAGAATCATCTAAATCCAAATCAATATGAGGTGAACTTGAAAATTCGTGAAGTAACTGATAAGTCCATTGTAAAAAAAAAGAATTTGAAGATAAGATTACAATATGAATAGTTGGAAACTTGCAATCAAATTTATATGTAAGACAGTTTTAGTGAGAAGTAATGAATATGGGTTTCGTTTAATTCACAACTCGTTAACGGTACCTAATTGCTGATGTTCCAACTGCGAGATAAATCGATTCGATACTAAATATCAACAACGGAAAAAATACAAATTCTTTAATTAATATTGTACAATGAATTGACGTTTTTAATTTCAGTTTTCTAACCAGTCAAGAATATTTGAATGAAGTCAATTAAGAAATCGACAGCTTCTGCAGTAAAACTGACACACACACACTGCTTTTTCCCAAGAATTCAGTCAACGATGTATCTGTTGAAGTAGATAAATGATGATCTTTAATTTAATTTTTGTGTAATTTAATGTATTTCCGCAATAAGGTTATGAATAACTCACTCTTTATTAGTTATGTATCAATATCTTCAGAACTACTCATCAATACATCTACAGTGCTCTCTGATTAATCAAGAATTGAATTTTGTGTACACACAACAGAAACATCAAAAAACAACCTAACAAAACAGTTCACAAACTAGAACAAAAGTAACAATAATGATAATATTGTTACACCTAGTACATTAAAACGTTTGAGATGCGCACTTCCTAACAGGCATTTAAGCTCATATAAACTTCCGATGCTTTAACTCAGAGCAAAAGCAGAAGGCAGAAATATAACAGGAAGTTTACTACCTCTAATGTGAATTCAGTGAAGAAAAATCAAAGGTTATCGATGTCTCTTACCAGTAACTTTGATGTGCTATATGCTCCCGGAGAAAAGGTGAAATCGATTATAATTATAAGCGCTTGATCAATCAGGTTAGGGAAGAACATAAATGTATTTGAGTGATTTGAGTCTTTAGCCCCTTACGAATAATAGTTTTATTCAATTCTGATCCCAAACTTTGATCATTAGTGAGAAGACTATATAAAAGAGGGTCGAATAACAGATCACACTGACGCATTACGTATTTTTTGAAAAAGTTAAGAAAATTAGTCAGTCGTAATACATGTTGACTGTAAGCATTGATGGCTAAAAAAAAGAAACAAACTGTTGACTGAAAACCTATCATAGTTGAAATAACACTTTTGTCAATGATTGTCACTAAAAACTGTTTACACATAGAAAATAAATACATTCAAAGTAAAAGAATGAAAGGAAATCTAATGCACGTACTTTTAATGGTTGAGATCATGAGTCAATTGAAGCTAGAACACCATGGAAAACCTAGAAGCACTAGACGGCCGTTTTGTCCTATTGTGGGACTCAGCAGCGCACATCCACGTTCCCACCTTGTGAGATTCGAACGCAGGACTTATCAGTCGCGTGCGTGAGTGCTTAACCACTAGGCCACTGAGCCAGCATCCAGGTTTTCCATGGTGGTCTAGCTTCAAATGACTCATGATTTCAACCATTAAAATTACTATAATATGCACGTACTTTTTTTAAATGATGAATAAGAATGTTACTTTCTATTTCAGGTAACTCTGGTATTTCATCAACCACCATAGGATAAGATAACTGAAATGGAATATGAACAAAAAAAATGTTAACAATTCTCATTAACCATAATGATTGAAGCTTATAAACTGTATGTTATCATCAACTGGTTTAATAATAAAATTCAATTAATTATGTACATTTCAAGAGTTATAAATAATACTTCACAGTGACAACAAAATACAGAATAGGCATTTGAACCTATGTATTATTCATTAAGAAGATCTGAATGAATCTCTTTGCATATGCTGATGGGGCAGTCAGTATGCCCAACCACCGACTGCCCCGACGTGCAATGTTTTATGTCGTAGGAGTAGGTTGGAAGAAAGTTAGGGGCGGCCAGACCAAAACATGGCACAAATCCATGAAGTCACTGACAAGTGGACTGAACCATTTCAGTAGGTGTAGACTACCTGATTGGGATCCGCGAGACGATATCAACCGATGGTGAGATGCCTTGAATAACATGGCTCAAAATAGTTTGCAATGGCGCAGGTGCATACACTCTTTGTGGTCTCCCAAATTCTAATCTTCTGAATTCTTCGTGTCACTTCTTTTCCCTTTCCAAATTTGTTTCACTTTATTATACTCCTTAAATAACATCTTCAAACCCTAATCTTTCCGATTACTGCTTATATTCTTACTACCTGTAACACTATGGGGTTTCAATCGACAACTGCATCCCTGTGCTAATGTGGTATGGCAACACGAACTGATGTACATACGTACCAAGTTCTACGTTGTTACTGATTGACTGACTGATTGTGCCCTCAAATGCCCTGGTATGGCCGAGAGTGGGGAGAGTCCGATCTCCCTCTCGAAATGCTCTCACATAGCCACGCGTATATAGTTTCTGCCAGGGAAGTCCTACTCATTGCTTTCTCATGGCGGGGTGTTGTTTACGAAAGTGAGAGGACTAAAAGTGAATGTCCGGCGCTTTAACCGGGCTCGTGGACATGGAGAGACCACCTATGGAAGTTGGAAAACCCTGATTACAAACCAATGGTGCACATGGTCTCCAGTATCCTGAAGGGACTAATGGCGTATGAACCAATCATTGGTCACCGGCTTCCATGGGACTGCATCTCTCGACGTTGCTCGATTACGTTGTGGATCAGACCTTCAGGTCGAAGGCTCTGGGTGTGGCCCCCTAATAAAACCACCTGCTTCGGTCTGGGCACCCCGGTAGCATCACAGCCCTCACACATATCAAAAGAGATTTGTGTGGCGCATATGTATTCGGTGCCTCCTTGTACCAATATCTATGTGTTAAAATAAATAAATAAATAAGACTGACTGATTTTTGTTCATTCATTCAATAAAACAACTTTCATTAGATATAGCCTTAATACTATTTAAAAAAAAGGTATTCAGATAATCTAGTTTTATCAACTACTTAGTAGTACCAAATTTATGTCCAATATATGAAAAACTATTTCATTTGATGCAGCTATTATAATGAATCCTTATTCATGTTTCATAATTTTGATATTTGACTAATTCTCTGAGAGATCTTACACCAGACTCCCGAGTGGAACGCCGAAGTTATCGTTAATTTTAATTGATGAAATTCTAACAGCTGGCATTTTCTTTACTAATGCATTCCGCAAACCCAGCACTCAACTATTGTGGAACTATTCATTCGGTGACAAAGTCAGGGACTTGGAAAGATTAAAAGCTGAAAAACAGTGACAAAGTATCAGCTTCCCGATGATTAACCTCATGTGGTTTTAAAGGTTTTGAAAACCACAGATAGTAAACTGTAAAGCTGAAGTGAAAGAACATTGGGTTCGAGTCTCAGTCTCAACATTAATACTATGGGGGAGCAAGTATATACGGTTGATGAGCCACAAATAGAAGAAAATCCGCATCTTTGATTACACCACTAGCTACAAACCGCCTACACAAGACCAAATAATAGGAATATTATGTGTGACTGAAACGAACCAGTCACTGTTTTGCAGAAAAACGAAACCACACGAAAATGAATGGATCCAAGATATATATAATCAAAAACGTTTTCATTACAGTTAGTGAAAGATTACGAAATAACAATGAGTATTATTATCAAGCACCCAATCGATATATAAGCATTCCAATCTGATTGATATATTGTGCAATCGCCTTCCGATATACTTGGTAAGTAATTGCCTAAAACTTAATATGACTAAATTCCACTGGTCACCGGTTCCCACTAAAACTCCGAGATCACTTCCTGATCCTAGTCACTAATAAGGATGTAATTGAAGTTAAAAGTGTAAACCACTGGGCCGCTACCCAGTGATCTCCAGAAATTTAGCGCTCATGCACAGGACAGTAGGTTCTGGATTTGATACCCGAGAATGAGAGCATAACTGTGCACTGGTGAGGTATCCTAAACTAGGACAAAACAGCTGTTTAGTGCTTCCTAGCCTTGACTGACTTAAAGCGAATCCCAGTCAACTACAAAATTCAAAAATCTCTATAAACCCCTTATAATACTCATCAAAGTTGTTTTACTTCAATTTGAAATTCTTATTTGACAAGTGGACAACAACAGATTAAAAGAAACACTTTTTTCAAGCATAAAACATCGATTATGGCTAAAGGTTTAACCGGTTAGCATCAGAAGGGGTTTTGTGGAGATTTTAATAATTTCAGTAGTTTAGATCATGAATCGATTGAAGCTAGAACACCATAGAAAACATGGAAGCACTGGATGGCTGTTTCGTCGTATTGTGGAAATCCTCAGCAGCGCACATCCACGACTTCGCCTCATGAGATTTGAACCCAGGACCTATCAGTCTCGCGCGTGAGCGCTTAACCACTAGACCACCGAGCCGGCACCCAACGGTGTTAATGTTTAACTTCAACTAATCCACGAAATTGAGCGACACATCCACCATTGTCATCAGTGAGTTACTATCTCACAACTGGCCCCGTTGAACTCCACTGGTCACTGCTTCTCACTAGGACTCCAGGATATACATCTTGAAGCCAGTCACTAGTGGGCATATGTTGATTAGTATCAGTAGGTCCTGGAATTCGGATCCCGCGAGGGGGGGTCGTGGATGCGCACTGCTGAGGAGTTCCACAATAGGACGAAACGGCCATCCAGTGCTTCCAGGTTTAACCCGTTGTAGACTAATTGCAAGTCCTTGTTGTTACCATTAATTAACGCGAATAATAAAAAATTTTATTCAACGGTTAATCATTGCAAACTGAACACTAAAAACTAATTACAGGATCAGAGAGAAAATCAAATTAGTAATAGACACTGAGTCCCTCTTACATAACTTTAACAAGAAAACAAAAAGAAAATAAATGTAGAGATACAATTTTTTCACAAATAACAATCCAAAAACAAAAACCAAAAAAAAAAGATTAAATTGAATTAAACATACTTCACGAGTATCCAAATCAGCTAACCAAACATCTTTAGGCATACGAAAAATTTTCCGTGCAGTATAAAATGCTGTTGGAACACCGATTAAATAGGGTGTAGGCGCTAACAAAAGCTAGATTATTTTCACATTGAAGAAGAAAACAATGAGAAATAAGGGAAAAAATGATTAATTAACTGAAATATGTCTAGATAAGTGATAAATACCTTTTAATATAGGAATAGGTAATCATTAAGTAAAAGGTAATTCAGTATGATAGTTCAAACACATTACAAACTATTAAATCATCTCAAACTGATTAAAGTTGGAATCATATATGTTGGACGCTAACTCCTCAGTTCCAATGACTAACCTGAAAGTCTATCTTTACTCGATCTCGGGTAGGGTCGTAGATGAGCATAAATAATCCCAAGTTTCAATAGTAACCCCAAATTAAATCATGTGGTTTCAAAAGCGGTTTAATCTAATTATTTAAGTAACCTATTGAGATTATTTCTGGTTCTGACAAAAAAAATAAGTAGACAAACTATCATTCACTTATTGAGTTTAGAATTTAGTTTTCTATAAAATCTGAAGGTACAGCTGATAAACGTACGATTATGGATTAGTTTACTATGAAAATCTTTTACTATAACACTCAATTGTGTTCAAATGATCAATTATTTCAATTAGATAATCGAGTTCCCTCCGACAATTTCTGTTATACATCCATTCAGCATGATATTTTGTCAGTGAGTTATTCACTTAGGTTCTGATTATTTGAATTAAAATAATAACTACTGCGAAGAAACTATGTATATAAGTGGTATTTTTATCCAATGTACATTCTTCATAGTTGTAGGGTAGGCTTTCTATTCTTAATAGTTGAAAGAAGATCAAGAGTTTTTCAGGCATAGTATTGAACAGTGATTGTGTTGCACCCACTCAGAACAATTATTCTTGTTTTCACTAACTTCTGTCTATTATCAAGCTGGTATTTTTGAACTGCGTGGAGAAGATTCAGGTTACAATAATGGTCAGAAAAATGAGATTTCAACACATGGTAGGAAAAAATCCAGTGTATGACAATAGCTATCACGTAACACGACATTCCAATGTTAAATATCTTGAGGTGATTAATAACTACGGAAGCCGAGAACTTTGTTAGAAATCACTCTTGTTTATCACTTCCCAACCCGTGTGACGCAACACTTGAAGGTTAAGCGCTCCAATCACTCAATATCATCATCTAATTTCTTTAAAGCTCATTTAGAATCAAGATTGCTTAAAGTGAATCACCTAAGAATGACACTATTAATATTATCCAGCCAAGTGATGTGTACCAAATACCAATTACAAATACATAATGTAGTGCTCGTTATTTAAACTTGAAACTGCCTTAAGATTCTGGATGGCATTCTGAATAGAGGTGGAGATTGGAGATGGTATGCACGGGTCAGTAGGATAACTGACATGTCTCCACAATTTTTTCCGAAATCCCCGTCGCCACTGATGTTTTGTTGTTTGAATGCTACTTTTTATATATAGTCGTCGCTGATTATTGTGTCGGAAAGGCCTATCACTTATAGTCGAAACGAGGGACCTCTGCGATTCCTACGACACGAAAGTAAGAACACAAAGACTGGTATAAGTGAAGATTTATTAACCCTAAAACACGATGATGATGACGACGACGATGACCCCGGTCAAAAATACACTCATTTATACATTGATTCGTAGACCCATTTTGATTAATAATTAGGATGAAATCACATACATAAAAAATACTCAGTTATAACAAATCGTATGCTAAGCGTAATTCATGTCAATTTTTAATACAAGAATATCGTATGTTATACAGAATAAAATATCATATGAGATAACAGTAACAAACGCTACATTGAGTAATCATCATATTGAATCAGAACGGAAGTAATGTTCGACAAAACTCATAATGAGTGAATCAATTGAATTTTGACTTTCCTTCCCGTCAACTCCTCTTCTTTTTCTTGAAGACTCGAAGTTTAGGTCATGAATTTACCCCCCCTCCCCCCACGAAATAATGTTGGGTCCTCATATTCCTAAGTTACAATTAGTGTGACTCTTTTTAAAACATATTACCCGCATTGAATAGAGAGTCCACTAGAACTGACTAGATGTTGAGGATCAACGACACTTGATATGAGGTCATTAAAGTTTGATTCTTCTGAAACATTTTCGTCAAATTTATTGAAAATCACATTAGTAGATAAGTGATCACTAGGATAATCAACATCTATCAAAAGTTCATTAGTTTCTTGATCATCATTTGATACATCCGACATATTTTTCTCACTTTTGTAAGAAATTTGATCAAAAATATGTGAGTCATTAAGATAACTCATATCTGGTAAAACAACTAGAAAACCTTGATGAGTAGATTCATCAGGAACTTTTGTCCTGGCATGAGCTCCAATTGATGAAACTGTCTTCATCATACTGCTTAGTTCATTTTCTGTTTCTTCGTGGGCGGGTACTGCAACAATGTCATGTGCATTTAACAAGACATCGACCTTCTGTGAGCTGGACAAGTCAGTGTTTGTATACTGTGTTTTAGAGACAATGGGATTTGAACCCACTACAGGGCATGTATCTGAAATGGACGTTTTTGGACCACTGGGCGGATCATGAATGACCGCTACTGCTTCGTTTACATTACTGCTTGTCAAGGATTCATAGAGGCTTTCAGCGACACTTTCATATGTTCTGCAATCATTTTCCAGCTTTGTACGCAATTTAGAAACTAGTTCATTAACTCCCGTCACATCTATAAAGCATGGATGATTCAGCAACCATGTGTGTAATTTGTCTATAAGTTCCAACTGATTCCTTTTAAAATGCTGCTGCTGTCGCTGAAACAGAAACCTCAATTGATCGGAAAGGAGAGCTATTTTCTGTTTCTGTATGAATCAACACGGTAATGAAAAATGCTGTATGGCAAATTAACAATCAATGTCGTTCAAGGATACCGACGGCAATTCTCTATACTGATTGTCTGATAATTACACTGATTTTCGTCCAATTACTGGCTGACCTTGCTCATTTTTGCAATCCGCGTCCCCACTGATATGTCTTGGTTCTTTTTTTCACAACAATAATGATAGGAGTAAATTACAATAAAATAAGTCAAAGGATTAAATGTAATTACATATCACTTCCATACTGCTGTGAATGGGTACACAATGAATACATTTTAGTCTTCTTACATTTCTTAAAGTATTTGAATAGGAGACTAAGCATAGTCGTGTCACTCAAGGACAATCTGAGAGATCTTTAGTTGTTCAGGGGTTTGTTTGGACCTTAAAGTCCTACAAAAGGTATGGTAAACCAATTTATTGTTTTATGCAAAATTATACAGTAAATTTGTAAAATATAAAAATTGAATACATCATTTGCATATCTTCCTTAGGTTGTCCATTACATACTCCATCATTCTTTCAATCCTATTGTTGTTCCGATCGCTCTCTGTATTCCTGCCTCTTCTCTTCATTTCGATCTTCTGCAAGTAAACATTTCACTTCCAATTATTACCATGTCTGTCCGTATAAGTAATGCACACCACAATATGATTTCAATATGCCTCTATAATATGGTTTGTTTTCTGATTACATAGTTTACATTCCATTGTACTAATGCAGTAAAATCTATCTATTATCTTTATCGAAATATTTAATTAAGTTCTTTGAAAGTATTGGTCACCTTCTACTTAACCAATTATACATCTCTCTCTCTCTATGTCACTCAATATGTTGATATGAAATGTAGAACAACTTGGGCTGATACACATTCTTACCAGACTTTGTGTTCTTTATAGTTTAAGAGAATATGATTGGGACTATGCACCGAATGGGAACTTTTAGTTGAATAATAATAATAATAATAAATTTTAATCAAAATACCACTTCAATCCAATACACACTAACCTGTTCTGCATCAGGCATACATGCAGGTAGAAGAGGAATGACTGGGAACATATATTGAAGTGGATAGAGTAATGCAACCAATGATAAAATTGTTAAGGATAACTTGTTATAATCAGATGATTGTAAAACCACCTAGATAACAAAAGAAGACAAAATATATTAGAACATATAATGGTTAAGTGAAAATATGAACTATTGTATAAGATAATATAGATTAATTATACAATGATTCTATACACAAAGATAAAAAATCCAAGATGAAAGAAAACATTTAGATTTTAGCAGTAAAAATGATAGTCATATAGCTATAAACAAACAAACTACCAACTATTAGTAATGTAGAATATACACGTTTTCAAAACTACTTATTAAGCGAGTGTACTTTCATGTCATACATTGAAAAACGAAGTGTTTACAGCTTAAAATACATGAGTTCTATGCATGTATTTATTGAATTACGACAGTAACTATTTATTTATATTCAAGTTTCTACCTCATCATTTGACAGAAATGAACTGACTAGTCTAAGTAAACGAATGTCCGGCACTTTAACCTGGTTGGTGGACATGGAGGATTTACAGAGGGGAGTTGGAAAACCCTGATTTTAAACCAATGGTGTCCATGGGCTCCAGGATCCTAAGGAACTAAGTGACGTATGAGCATATTGTTGGTCACTGGTTGCCATGGGACTGCATCTTGTGACGTAGCTCCACTATCTTGTGGATCAGACCTATAGGTCAAAAGCTTGGGGTGTGGCCCTACTTCAGTTTGGGCACCCGGGCAGTATCCCAGCCCTCACAAAAATCGAATGGTTTATGTGGAGCATATCTGTTTGGTGCCTCCTTGTACCAATGTTTATGTGTTTAAAAAATAAATAATAAAAACGTATGAATGAGTTTATCGTAGTTGTCAGTCAGCTACAACGTAGAACCAGACACATATATGCATCAATCCAATTCGCCATACCTCATTAACACAACAAGATGAACACCAAATTCATAGAAGTAGTTACTTCAATGGTGGTAAAATAAAAAAGAAAGATTGTATATAAGGATATAGTACAGGAAGAAAGAATTAGTTCGTAGAAAGAAAGATATGAAGCGATTTTAATCTCTTAGTTTAAGGGAAGATAGAGAGTGTATACATCAACGCCATTGTGATCGATTCTGAGCCATGTCACCAAGAGTTTCCAACCATTGGTTACTTATCGTAGTTGAGATGTCCGTGTATTACTTTTCATTCATTTTATTTATTTATTAAGTACAAGTTATTATATCATGACTAACTTATCATATTAACACTGACACTACTAATAGTACTAATTCTACTATTTTGATATTAATTTTAATAAATTTTTATTTCGTTGTAATGGTGTGGTGTAGAGAATTGAGGCGATGAACATTTGTGCCAGACCTTATGTATTGATTATGACAGGCTGACTGAGAGAGATACATTTTTTTTTCATACAAAATAGTGTTACCATTCGTATATCGAGGCCAAAGAATACATTACGTCAAGAAATGGAGACAGAAATGAGTAAAATGAACAAAAAAATGGATAAAACTGGAAAGGAAGGACCAGGACAGAGTGGGTTGGAGAATGCTGGTCGGCAGCCTATGCTCCATTGGGGGTAACAGGCGTAAGTAAGTAAGTAAGTAAGTAAAACATGACTTATTTTAATAATTGTAAATGTTAAATTTAGTACATACTATAGAATCGAAGTATTAAATAAGCCCTTCTTATCATATTCTATGAACATTTAACCATAGTAATAAATGACCAATGAATAAAAGGATTCATATTGTCTTGTTGTTAATATCTAAGGATGATTTTGATCAGTCCTTGTTGGAATATGAACTCATTGAACGAATAACTCGATATTGTCAGCATTTCAAAGAAGCTCACATGTTATTAGTTTTGAAATAACAATAACATGAATTACAACACCTCACAATTGACAATAAGTATCATACCTGATAAAAAAAAAGTTGGTGGACACAGTGACTTTGTCGTAGCCTGGTGGATAACAGCCTAGTATTTGAAACAATGTATGCTGGGTTTATGTCTTCATGGTAATATAAATATATTGTCCTAAGGATGATAAAATAGTTGTCTATTTTACCGGTACTCCATAAACGAAAAATATTGAACAGAAAGAACATATATGTGTCATCAATATAGGGGCTGACACGAATGCACATCATTTCAAGTCCAGTTAATAGCCATAATATCATATCAACAAAATGGTTTTAAAAAACAATTACGTCACTATACTGTCAAATTATGGTCTTGAATAAGGTCCAATGGAGACAAAATCAATAAAGTAAACAGAAATATATCGATGAAAACAATCTATCAACAATCAATAAATATGAAGGTGGGAGCTAAACAAGAAACAAGTTGGACTAAAATGTAAAATCGATCAATAGGGAGCAGGGTTAAATCCCACCTCATATATTTCTGTTTGATCAACCCGGTTATCACTAGCCATTATTATACTTAAAGGGTTCAGTCAAACATCGACTACAGAAATGTGTCATTTAATTAATTAATTAAATAATTAAAAAATAATTTCTATTCACAGTGCTTGAAGTCACTAACTTCTAGTCTGAGCCATGTTGGTAGACGCAGACTATTTGTTTGGGGTCCGCGTTACTATCGTAACCAATGGTTGGAGAGTCTTGGTGACATAGCTCAGAATGGATCACATGGCGTAGGTGCATACACTCTCTGTCTTCCTTTAAACTATAAGATTAAAATCACTCCATATCCTTCTTTTTTCCTGTACTATGTCCTTATATGCAATCTTTCTTTTATACATTACCACTACTGAATTAAGTACTTTATGCATATATGTGTCTGGTCCTACGTTATATCTGACTGACTGTTCAAACACATAAAAAGGATCCTGATTATATGAAGTCAAGTAAACTCACTTTCTGTTCCAATAGAAGACACATAATTAAACGAAAAGTTTTCCTGATACCCATAATTTCAAAAGGCAGATTCACAGGAAAATCAACCAAAGGAAGACGTGATTGATCAGGAAGAGCAAAACACAAAGGTGAACCTAAGGTTTGCGGTTGAACTGAAAGCTGAATTATTACAGAAGGAAACAAGATTTAGATAATTTAACACAAATGTTTGTAAATCAATCAGTAAAAGAAGGGACTATGAGGATTTTTGTTAATTTAATAAAGAAATAAATTATATAACTTAAAAGTTAATCACAAACTACTGAACAAAGCTGATTAATTGATATAACTAAGCAAAATGTTGAACCAGTTAATACTGATGAATTCATGCATAATGAGCTCACTACATCACTCTTGAAATAGTCTTAGATACAGTTTACTTCTCAACTGTGGAAATCCATACCTTGCTTTCAGGTTGAGTTATGTATTTCATTATGAAATTACAATGGTATCCGATTTGTAGTAGTATGATCCATGATTTGCATAGCTCTCCTTCTATACTATCCTTAGAACATAGATGTCAGATTCTATGAATCAGACAATTAAATAGATTGATTTTATATTAGAATGATGTGAAGTCGTGGATATATTGCCCCGCCTAATATTCTTTAGCTTTTTCAATTTATAACATGAATTATTTCAACTTTAATATTCTATCTACCGTAACAGGAAAATAATAACTATGGATTTTATAACTGTAGAGTCTGATGAAGAAATTATCGAAAACGATCGTTTATTCTAATACTCTTACTTTTTAGATATTATGTGGAAATTTTAGGTTTTATTTTATTTATTTATTTATTTGAACACATAAATATTGGTACAAGAGGGCACCAAATATATATGCGCCACACCATATTTGTATGTGTGCGGACTGTGATACTGCCCGGGTGCCCAGACCGAAGCAGGTGGTTTTCTTAGGGGGCCATACCCCGAGCCTTTGACCTAAACCCCTAATCCATAAGGCAGTGGAGCATCGTGAGGAGATGCAGTCCCATGGTAGCCGGTGTCCAACTATTAATTCATACGCCATTTGTTCCTTTAGAATACTGGAGACTATGTGCACCATTGGTTTAGAGTCAAGGTTTTCCAACTCCCTTAGGTGGACTTTCCGTGTCCACCAACCCGGACATTCACTTTTCGTCCTTTCATTTTCGTAAACAACACCCCGCCACGAGAAGACAGTGAGTAGGACTTCCCTGGCACAGGCTGTATACGCGTGGCCGTATGAGAGCATTTCGAAAGGGAGGGGGGCCCACCCCACTCCCGGCCATACCAGGGCATTTGGGGGTTTCATAAGTTGAAAATATTGACTAAATTATATTAAACCATCTCTTTTAACGCCGTACTTTGGCAGTGATAAAATATTATCCAGAGTACTTCAGGGGTAGTTTATACATTAATTAAATGAAATAAGAATTTCTTGCTATACCCACATTGAGACCGAAGTTTTTCATCTGGAAAGCTTCTACTTTTAAGACTTTTAATTAATTATTTACAATTAGTAGCGTTTTTATGTGCACAAATGAAAATGAAATATGCCAAAATTTGCTTCCAACAACTTATGAAGGGAAATTAAGCAATACAAATACTTACATATACACATGTACAGCCAGGAATTGGTGCTGGTGCACTGAGAAGCCGGAGAATCCAACATTGGAACTGACGTGTGCTTTCCACAACAGGATAAGAGCATGATAGTGTAATATTACTTGTCAATACATCCCATATATCTGGACTAGAAAAGAAAATTAGTGGTCTTTTTTAACAGAACAGCTATAACAAATTCTGATCGTTTATGAAACAAATGTTAAGAGCTTGATCAAGTAAAAGCTGAAAAAGCAATATCTTAACTAAAATGTGTAACTAGCATTGGTAAAAGTAAATGCGAATATGACTTAGTAAACCACTGTGGTTTTAAGCATTAGGATGTTCTGACGACTATATGGCTGCTTAAACTCTCATAGGTGATAAGTAGTTGAAACTTAGCCGAATGGCTAGTCATGATAGCAAACCTATAAGCGACATCCTTGTTGAACTTAAATGGACAACTTTTCTAACTTACTTCAGTTCGAAAAACGAATGAACTTGCGATATCTTAATTAAAAATAACTATGGACTAAAATCATAGCCTGAGGGTATCTTCGAAACCAATATATTTGTTTTTTTTCTGACCCTCTTACATAAACGCATCAATAAAACAAGTTATTGAAACATGTGCACACATGAGCTTATAAACGTCGTATTTTGCAAACAAGTACATCAGTAGAAGTCATGACACCTAGCACCAGTACTGAGTGCAAATCAACAGTTGTAAACTTAAAATACACAGGGACCTGGGGTCAAAAAAATCAAATAATGAGTACTAAATATTCTGTGCATAATTGAAGCTCTATTCATGGCTGTTTGACTTAATGATTAACGTGGACAACTAGGAGTACTCGACGTAAACTCTAGACAATAACAGATGACATAACAATCAATGATAACATGGAGAAAACGAGACAGGTGTAACTGCATATCTGTCTATGTGATAAATAACCGATAACAGTAAAAAATTTGCAAGATAATAGCTTCACTAACAGATATCAATTAAAGCACGTTTTAATCATGAAATACAACGTAAATAGGTGAATCAAGTTTTTGGTCCTATTACATAAACGTCAGTCAGTCAGTAACAACGTAGAACTTTATACGTACGTACATCGGTTCGAGTTGCCATACCACATTAGCACAGAGATGCAAATCCCTTAGTGGTAGAGGTAGTAAGAGCATAGGCAGTAATCGCAAAGATTAGGGTTCGAAGATGTTATTCAAGGAGTATAATCTAGTGAAACAAATTTGGAAAGAGAAAAGAAAGGGACATGAAGAATTTAGAAGATTAGAATTTGGGAGAACACAAAGAGTGGATGCACTTGCGCAATCGCAAACGATTTTGAGCCATATTATTCAAGGTATTTCACCATCGGTTGCTATCGTCTCGTGGATCAAAATCAGGTAGTTTACACCTACCAACATGGTTTAGTCCACTTGTCAGTGACTTTATAAATTTGTGCAATGTTTTGGTCTGACCGCCCCCAGCTTTTTCCAACCTACTCCTACGACATAAAACATTGCAAGTCGAGGCAGTCGGTGGTTGAGCATACGTAACACGTTTCCCAGCCATCTAAACTGATGAAGTTTTACTACTTCATCACTTGATGCGCCACCCTTACCTAGTACCCGTTTCCTAACAACTGCGTTACTTAATCGATGGTCCCATGATCTGCGAGCAATGCTTCGAAGACACCTTTGATCAAATACTAGTAACCTACGAATATCTTCTACTCTTACCAGCCACGTTTCACTTCCATAAAGTAGGACGGAGCGAACTGCTGCTCTGTAAACACGTCCTTTGGTTGATAGACGGATATCTCGCCTACGCCATAAATGACGCAATTTTGCAAAAGCTAGTCGAGCCTTCAGTATCCGCGCTGAGATTTCGTCACACACCAGACAACAAGGGCTGATAAAACTTCCAAGATAAGTGAAGCGGTCGACACGCTCAACTACTTCACTCCTACCATTAGTTCGGGTGTCGATACAACCCAATCCTGGAGCAATATTTTGCATTTCGAGGGGGGAGAATCGCATGCCGAACATACTTGCATTGTTGCTTAGAGTGATGATAAGACTCTGCATTTTTTCAGCGTCTTCACTAAATAGAACCATGTCATCGGCATATTCTAGGTCAACAAGTGAGTTTCCCGGTAGAAGTTCAACTCCTGGAAATTTAGATCAGGAAAGTGCTATTTCTAAAAGCACGTCAACGACAAAGTTACATAAAAGTGGCCTGAGAAGGGCTATTTTCTGAACACAAATTAGAAAGTTATATGTTCATATTGTGATTTACCACTATAAACCCAGGACAGAGTGGGTTCGAGAATGCTGGTCGGCAGCCTATGCTCCATTGGGAGTAACAGGCGTAAGTAAGTTACCACTATAAAACTTGTTCATTCAGGTCGCATATCCCATCAATTTAACGATTCCTTTTTGCTGCGTTATATAAAGCTTAAGAATCTGAATGAGTGTTCCTGAAAAATCAAGGTTTGGCTCAGCTGTTTAATTTGTACCGTGATTCGATTTGGTTTAAAAACGTATCCCAGTGTTGTAGGGTGTGAAAAACATTTAATCTTACTTGAGAACTTCTTTAAAGAATAATTTATGGTGAGGGTTAAAATCTTGATGAATAGATCTTAGATGTATCTGTTCGTGAAACAAGATGGGTAAAACAGAGCTTGAAGGGGAAAACGAAAGTTGATTTCGGCATGTTTTACGAACAATAATGAAACATAAAGGTCGCAGAAAATGAATTATGGAAAAAAATTTAAAATGACTCCAATTTTCAAGTAATGGAAGAAGAACGGTGCTAGTTAATTTATTTATATAACTTGTTTACCAGAGACAAAATTGCGCACTTATTTTCCGAACAGTGAGTGTGAGGGCTGTTGATACTAACTGGTTGTCTAGAATTAATTCAGATGGGGTCAGAACATCCAGCTTAGTAGCTGAATCACTTTTCCATATGCAGTGTACACCTACGACCTCTCCAAGGATCGGAACTATGACCTTCAGGTCACAAAGTGGATGCTAAACCACCAGAAGAAATGAATTGGAATAACTATTGACAGAAGATCCCCCTGTTAAAATCTTCACATATTACTCATAAGTGATTCAATGGCAAACTGAATAAAAGGATCGAAAAGAATATATACTGAGAGAGGGACGAGTCAAAGCCTCAATCATTCAACGAATCCTTCGCCCAGATCAACATATCATAAGATGATCTTGATTACGAAGTGATAGTGAAATGAAGGTAGAAATTCTGGTTAGGTCGATAGGTTAAACGAATTTTTGATATAAAATGGTGAAATTTGCTTTCACTATATCGTACAATCAGCTGCTAGAATATAATTGGCAGGAAATTACTCAAGAACTGAGGAACATAAAAAACTTATTTAAACGGCTAACATTTAGTGGCAAACTTTAGGCCTTGAACGTCACTAACAACAGAAATACCTAAACTCGAAAAGTGGCGAAACTGTGACTTATGAACGGACCAGTCAGATTCACGACAACAGGCCTTGGATTCCGGCGCAAAAACTCTTTATCCATTTGGTTAAACAGCGCCTTGGCATTTTAGCTTATGTCAGTTCGTGATGAAAACCGTAAATCTAAACCTTATTCCTAACCATCAACTGTAATTTACAATCATTATCCTCAAAACAGGTTTAAAACCCTCATTTAGCCCTAGTCAGTAAGTGGACACCCTCAAGGCCACTTTAGCGTCGCTCAAAGATCGTTCATAAATTATAGTCTCACCCGAAAATTTGGTAGAAATGCCACAAAATGAAATTGCAAATGCTTCGACCTTACCTTTCCACACAGCTGGGTTTTGACAGTTTGTGTAGCTTCTTTAAAATTACATGTACACATTGCACAAGCCGTGCAAACGTTGTAGCAAAAGGATAATGAGTGATTAAACAGATTGACGTTAAGCTATAGACATTATTTGTATTTTTTAGTTTTCCAGATGGTAAGGATTTATCCTGGATACTTTCATTCGAACATGAAACTGGTCCATTACCAGATACGTCGCCAAAATGTGTGCCTTCCCTGCCATTCGGATATGTAGTTTTACTCAAACTTCTAAGGTTGACTGGTCTGAAGAAGTTGGTGCATATACCATACCGTGTTTTACTGGAATCCTTATCAGTTAGCGAAAATAAAAATGTCATTGATTTTATACCGCTAAGGTTATTATCCAAAGATTTTATAGGGAATGTGTTGCTGGAAGTATTAATACATCCTTCTGGCTGACAAAAGAAAGACACATCTGTAGGAAGAGGGAAATCCTTGTGGTTTGTGGGAGGAAATCGACAAAGAATCTCGGGAGACTGCACTGAGTATGCGTTCCCAGGTAATCGCGAGCCAATCAGTACAAAATAGTCTATCAAACGCGGACATATATTTGACATTGAAGCACTAAATACATCCGAAGACTGTCCTACTTAAACCTGTAGCACGTTTTCTTATCGTTTACCTGGAGGCAGGAGCAATCTGAAACACAACACAACAGTCAGGACTGGCAGATGCCACTCAAGTGAGAACACGGCGTGCGAGCACAACAGAGATATATTAGAAATTGAAATACGCGGTTTTTGTACAAAAAGAGAAGTCTGTTACAAAATAGTTTTACTCATCATCCAGCAGGTTTAGTTTGCGCAAGCTTTGTTCTTCTTCTTCTAATACGTTCACTTTCTGTTGTCCTGCAATAAGGAAAACAAACCTGCATTAATAAAGTTACACGTAATGACTTTCGATACTGTTACACTATCCCCTCTCTTCATGAGGCACTGTCCTCAGTGCCTGGTGCTGGACATGGGTATGCTACCCCTCCTTCTGGTGGCACTTCATAATGGCTGACGGCAGTCGGGGGGTTGACAAACGGGGTATCTAAGTGCACCGTTGTCTTGTCTGGCTTTAATTGATTGTAGTGTACTGTTATAACATCGTCTTGGGGTCGTTGGAGGTTACGTAAGACGAATGTAGTGGGGGACCGCATAAACACAACTTCGTAAGGTCCTTGCCAAGGGTGATGGAACTTGCTGCATGTCCCCGGTGGAGCCAAAGGGCGGTGCAGCCACACGCGATCTCCGGGTTTATACACAGGTCCGTTCGTCTTGCGATCGTACACGTCCTTTTGGTGCTTGCTGGCATTTTGTAGGTTGATCTTCACTAAGCGATAGGCGTCGGCTAGGCGGCTGCGAAGATTACGGATGTATACTACATGATCTTGGATCTCGCATGGTAACAGCGGTATTTGCAGCTCAACGGGTAGGCGCAATTCATGCCCAAAAAGTAGGGTCGCCGGTGAAAATCCTGTAGATCCGTGCACTGATGAGCGGTAAGCTAACAGACATTGTGGTATCACGTCATCCCAACCTTCCGTCGACGACTTATTGATAAACGATTGAAGGAGAGCTTTGATAGTCCTGTTGGTTCTTTCTACTAAGCCGTTACCTTCTGGATGATATGCGGTAGTGTGTGTTTTCCGGATTCCCAATAATCGACATACCTGGGCGACGAGATGACTTTCAAAAGCTGAACCTTGGTCAGAATGGAGTGAGAGGGGAGCGCCGTACCGGGATACCCAATGATCAATGAAAGCCCGAGTAACTGTGAGGGCATCTTGTTGTGGTATAGGCACAGCTTCACACCATTTGCTGAAATAGTCTACCATAACCAGTAAATAACGGTTTCCGTTCTTCGACGTTGTGAGTGGCCCCATAATATCGATGCCAACTCGCTGATGCGGACCTTCTGTCGTCATTGGAACTAAGGGTGCGCGGGGTATTTGTCGGGGTGACTTGATAGCATAGCACGTGCTACAATTTTTGCAGAATTCTGCAACGTCTTCGTGGATGGATGGCCACCAAAACCTTCCGCAGATAGCATGTTCAGTCTTCCGTGTTCCTGAGTGCCCCAGTTCTCGGTGTACCTGCTCCATAATATTCTGAACTTGTATACGTGGTACTATCAGTAGTGGTTGTTTTGATTCACTGACTATAAATAGCGTGTCTTCATACAATCTTAGACCGCCCCACTTGGCACAAAGACGGCGCGTTGCCAAGGAATGATCCTTTAACTCTGCCATAGATGGTTTATTATTGCCATGTAGTTGCCTCTGATAAATAAATCGCAGATCTGGGTCTTCTGCTTGAAGAGACGGCCAGTCGATCTCGGGGGCTGTGCTAAGGACGGCACTAATGGTATCAGGAGAATAAGGTATACGAGATAGAGAATCAGCGTTTGTGTGTCGGCTTCCGGGTCGGTATTCACAGGTAAAATCAAACTCCTGCAACCTCTCCTGCCAGCGCGCTACCTGACCTTCTGGTTCACGGAACGAACGAAGCCACTGTAGTGCACGGTGGTCTGTGCGTACACGAAAGGGTCGTCCTAAAAGATAGTGACGAAAATGTTGCGAAAATTTTACCAAAGCCAGCATCTCTCGGCGCGTCGTAGAATACCTTGTCTCCCTCTTATCTAACCGCCGACTAGCGTAGGCAATGACCCGCTCCTGTCCATCTACTGCTATTTGAGACAGGACTGCTCCAATAGCTGATGAACTAGCATCTGTATCGAGTATAAACTCACCCGCTTTAGCAGAAGTGTCCGGAAAAGCTAGTACGGGTGGAGCAGCAAGACACGACTTCAAAGTGCTAAATGCTTGTTGACACTCTGTGGTCCACAAAAATGTTCGTCCTTTGTGCGTCAGGCGATGCAGAGGTGCTGCCAGGGATGCGAAATCCCGTACGAAACGTCTATAATAAGAAGCGAGTCCCAGGAAGCTGCGAACATCCTCGGCAGATTTCGGTTGTGGCCAGTTAATAATGGCGCTCGTTTTTCCCTGATCTGTTGCTACTCCATCTTCTGTAATGCGATGCCCTAGAAAGAGCACTTCTTTTTGCAATAGTCGACATTTAGATGGTTTAACTTTTAGGTTATGCTGCTTAATTCGTTGTAGGACTGCCTTCAAATTGGCATTATGCTGTTCCGGCGTTCTGCCATACACAATAATATCATCAAGGTAAATTAAACACTGGTGTGGTACGAGACCATGTAGAACTGTCTGCATTAATCGTTGGAAAGTGGCTGGGGCATTAGTTAACCCAAACGGCATTACTTGAAACTCATATAGACCATTGGGTACTGTGAATGCAGTCTTTTTTCTATCTTGAGGTCGGACTTCCACTTGCCAATACCCTGATGCTAAGTCTAAAGTCGAGAACCAACGAGCGCCTTTCATGGCATCTAATGTAGCGTCTATACGTGGAAGTGGGAAAGAATCACGTTTAGTTATAGCGTTAAGGCGGCGGTAGTCTACGCATAGTCGTAGGGAAGAGTCTTTCTTTTTCACTAAAACGATAGGCGATGCCCATGGTGATGAAGATGGTACAATGATCTTTTTCTCCAGCATATCTTTTACCATAGATTCTAATTGAGGCTGGTAATGTACTGGTACTCGGCGAGGTGGTTGACGTAATGGCGTGTGATCACCTGTGAGGATGGAGTGCTGTACAGTGGTCGTCCGATTTCCAGAGATATTCTCAGAGAAAACGGAACTGAATTGTTGGAGTACAGCAGTGGTTGCTCGACGGTCTTTTTCAATTATTATTTTATTATCTTGTACCTGACGTACAATTTCTGAAATTCCCACCTGGGCTACGGACTTAGTTGGTATTTCATGGTGTTGTATTTGCACGACAACTCCACCAATACTCGCTTCTGACTTATTCATGTGTATAGAGACCTGGTATTTTAACATGAAGTCGACCCCGAGAATCATGTCCCAAGTCAGTGTGGGGCAAACCCAGAATTCATGTTGAAAAGGCTTCTTGTCAACCGTCAGCTCTAACCCTATCTTAGAACACGCTTTCAAGGGTTCTCCGCTCGCGGTAATTAAGGTAGAAGAGCATTGTTTACGCTGAGTGCTGTGGTTAAGTTTCTGCAAGAGGTCTTCCTTGATCAAGGATACTGAAGCTCCTGTATCTAATAGTATATTAATCTCAGTACTTTGCACTCTACCCTTAATAGTAACAGGGCACAAATGTTTAACATAGCAAGACGATATATGCAAACGACACTGCTTACCTCTGTTTTTCACGCGGTTATGACCGCATTTCTTGGCATTTTTGCCGAAACGTCTGCAGTAGAAGCATTCTGTTTGCTGGCCTCGATAGTTGTCTCTTGACGACCGTCCGTTCCATGTGGAAGTCGGCTGCCCTCGTCTACTATTCCGGTCAGGGAACTCTCTAATAGCCGCGGCACTTTGAAAGCTATCTTGTAGATTAGGTTCGGTGGCTTCATCGATAGTCATCACGGTTGGTCGATAGGTCGCCAATGGAACTGACAGTCTTTCAGCAGTCAAAAATCGAAGTGCCGTTCGTTTCAAGTCGGCTGTGTCAGCCGGTGGCACTCGAAGTAGATGTTCTCGCAGTGCACCTGGCAGCAGTCCTTCAATAAAACGGGAGCGTGTAATTTCTTCTCGCCCCAAGATGTCTAGGCTAGGGAATGCCTGGGTTGCTATCTGCTGTAATGAGTGAAGATAGTCGATGGGGCTTTCATGAGGTTTCTGGTGGCGAGACAAAAATTGGATGGCTGACTGCTGGGTATCCACCTTCAACGAAAAACATTCATCTAAAATCTTCCAATTTTGAGATGGTGAATTGCACGCAGTAAAGCCGTTAGCTGTCGCTCGTTTCGCTGCTTCGTCATCTAAGTAGGACAGAAGGTAGTCGAAGTGTTCCGAAGTTGGAACTCGACGTAGGCACGTCATTACTCTAATTTTCCAGATGTCATAGTCTGATGAGACGCCTAACAGTGGCGGTTGGCGAGGGGTTGTGTTGACTGTTAACTTGCCAGGGATGGCTGGGGGTTCATCATGTTTTGACATAAACACCTCCATCACCACTTGTAGCACGTTTTCTTATCGTTTACCTGGAGGCAGGAGCAATCTGAAACACAACACAACAGTCAGGACTGGCAGATGCCACTCAAGTGAGAACACGGCGTGCGAGCACAACAGAGATATATTAGAAATTGAAATACGCGGTTTTTGTACAAAAAGAGAAGTCTGTTACAAAATAGTTTTACTCATCATCCAGCAGGTTTAGTTTGCGCAAGCTTTGTTCTTCTTCTTCTAATACGTTCACTTTCTGTTGTCCTGCAATAAGGAAAACAAACCTGCATTAATAAAGTTACACGTAATGACTTTCGATACTGTTACAAACCACTACACCCGTATTGCCCACATATTGCTAATGACCATGAAACAAGAATTATTAACACAGTAAAACAAGGAATTGCAAAAGCAAGAACCTACGGTGTTTTATTATGACCTGTACTCGCTGTTCATTAACAAGAATGCCACGTTAGTTGACACTCTCATTGGTAAATGTATAAGTCTTAAGTGAGA